TTGGTGTGGAGACAAATGAAACCAAAGCTATCTGTGTGTTTTTGCATAGTTTGGGTGAACTGAGTCTTTGAAGCTTCAGGTTCTTGAATACTGAATGTACCAAACTTTAAAGTCACCAGACTGAAAGAAGACGAGTCCTGTGTTTTTGACTCATGCACCACTTGCCAATTGATTTAGAAATGTAATGTTGTAGGAGCCAAGTGGAAGAAAAGAGTCAATTTTACAGCAATATCTACCTAACGTTTGCTAATGTAAACCAAGACTAGCTACCATAAACTGCCGGTCATACCAGACCAGGCTGTAGCAGCAGTACTGCTGATTTAATGAATCGTAAAAAGGTGATGTTATTGCTTCAGAATTCAACTTTTCATTTGTAAGAAGTCTAGACTGGCTTTAAGACGTGAATCTTTCTCATTTGGTGGTGACAGTTTTCAGGAAGCTGCCATCCTTTGGGTCCCTGCAAACCTGAAGGCCAACATCTGGACCTGGCTCCTACACCTCCTGATGCCGGTCTGCTCGGCAACCAGTTCTGCTCTTTCCCCTTTCACTCTCTCCCCCTCCGGCCTGTCTTTCCTCCCTTGGTGTCCCCCCAGGGTAATTGTGGGGTAATTTATGAAGTTCTAGCAGCATGGAGTAGGTCGGTGTATGGGACAGCCTGCTGACCGAGCCCCATTCAGCTCCAGAGGAGAGAGCCTGGACTCCTTTTATCCTCCCCATAATCAGCATCTCTCCCTGGGCCTGGATCCCCCTCCTGACTCCCCTCGCCCTGCAGCCCTCCTCAGCATGCAATCCTCCGTGGCCGCTTAAAGATGAAGGGGAAAGTTATTGGACTCTTTAGTGACTCATAAACATCCTAGGGGATTTTCATAGTGCCTTTGTGTCTTTTTGTTGTGACTGGGATAATGCAATTGTTTCAGGCAGTGTAAATGAATAAATCACCGAGCAGTTTGTCCCGGCGGTGAGAGATAACAAAGGGCAGCACTCCCCGTTCTCAGAAACACTTGTCAGCCCGTTCAGACACTTTGTGAAACAATTTTATATCTCTCTCCCCAGACATTGGAAACGTTTAGATCCATAGATGAAGGAAACTGAACCAGTCCCACATATCTTCTCCTTCTGATCAATTCTCCTGCTACAATTTTGATCTTAGAGCCTTGATATCCAAGCAACATAGAGGAAAATGGTGGTAAACAAAAGCTGCTGCATGTCCTCTCTGCTCTCGACCACATGCCCAGATTAAAGCTCAGTGTGTGTGCGTGTGTGTGTGTGTACAGGAGATCAAGCCACTGATCCTGTTAAACAATGACCAGCAGAGAGTGAAGGAAGCCTAACGGTACACAGCGCAGGTTTGCTCTTCAGCTTAGTGCTTTATTGAGCAATGATAGGCCCTAATCTAGCCTGATCCTCTGTCGCTACAAGCATATGCCTGTGATAATGCCCTCATTTTCTGGTCACCTGAGCACTTTCATTGGAGTGCACCCCGTGAGGCAGCAGAAAGGGGGTCTCTAAAGCCTAAAAATAAGTCTGTCACAGAGCCCTTGAATTGGATGAAGGGTCCTGAAAGGTGGCATCCAGAGAAGAAAGTCAAACACCCTGATGCGGGGTTAAAAATTGAAGGATTATGTGAAAACATGGAGGGTGGCTACGCTTTCATTTGTAAAATGCAAAGCCCAGAGATCCTTGTGTCTCTCTGTGTGGCCCGTTGCCTCTGTAAACACATGAATAAGAATAAGAATGAGCAGGAGAATGGGTTTTATCTGGCTCATGCATATAATAATGGAGTAAGAGAAGGCCTGATTACTCCTTTCATTAGGTTAGAGCCCCTAAAAAATGATCCATATATGTGTTCAGAGTGTTTACTAGTACACAACTTCTCTTAGTTGTTTCTTCTCATTGATTTTCTTTATCTCCATTCATTTTATATGAGTGACAGTCTTACTAATCTAATTTCATGAGCGGTTAATGAGTATCCTGGCACAGTTCTTCTCAATTTATAGATTATTTATTAAGAGCATTAAAACAACATTATTGGTTGTTTCCTTCTCTCTGGACTGTGTAAAACAGTGAAAGGTGTGGCACAGAACCAGCCATTAAAAGGTCTGACTGGAAAAAGGATGAAATCCGGACCATTGTGTCCAACATAGTTAATTAGGACCTGACCCAATTAACAGAGAAGAGTCCAGCAGCCATGTTGGCTTCGAGCCTAACGATGGGAAAATCCATATGCTCCAAATAAATGGCCCATGTTGGCTCTCAAGGTTTCCCAATTATAATATCACTGAGTGTTGGCTGAGCCAAAGCACCCTGCGGGGCCCCCTGATGGCGCTGTGGAGGGGGGTCCTGAGGGCCCTCTTGATTCCCACTCCTCTAACTTTTTGTGGGTCCAATGTTTTTCGGATCTTACAGAATACACACAGTGAGGTGCAGACCGTTGTGAGCTTCAATGCAAGTCCAGCGAAATTAAAACACAACATTGGCAATTATGAAATATAAATGCACGTTTAAACACAAATAAACAAACTTGGCTGAGCCACCCACTCGCAGATAAAAATACAAATCAGCAGGATGACTTCATGCAACACAAAGGGTGCTATTGATTCATTACGTGTCCGTGTGGAAAATGATATGTAGGAAAAAAGAACACAAATAAACAAAAACAGGAGATAAAATTACTATAAAGAGCAAAAAGAGTAAAAGAATGAATCATCCAATCTCTTCCCTTAAATATCTGAGAATTGATGTTTGTCAAAGAGAGGGAGAAATTGCCAATTTGGAGCTTTATTTAGCCCATAAGGGGGAGGCATTCACATCTGAGAGGGTTAGGTGAGGAATTAGACTTAAAGCCATTTTTGCAGCATCACTGGATTGTATTTGTTTTCAAATAAGAGAAGTTTTAGGAATGTCATTAGATCATAGATGAATACATTAGGGTCAAAAAGCAGATGGATTTTGGGATGAATCAGGATTGTTCATTACTGAATATATCAATATATTTTGGACAAAGGATGTTGAAAGAATACAGCATTTGTTTCCTTACTGAAAAAGGAATAATCAACCTTTTTACCCACTGAGATACTTGAAGAAAATTTTGAAAATATGATTGTAATATTAAAAGCTCTGAATTTATGGTCTTTTACATTTGCAATTTATGTATCAACTGAGAGTAATGATATTTTGGAAATTATATTTTTTCAGAACAGGGATGTTGATAATGTTGTTAGAAACAGAAACAGCCTCATACACCACCCTGAGGAGAAGTAGCCAAAACCGTGGAGCAGAGCTGTGTTAATATATGGAACCAGCAGTATACAAACACGTGAATTTCAAGTCAGTGGTCACTCCAAATTTACTTTGACAGACTGCAACAATCCTGAAGCTGCACAGACGCCCACGGCTGGAGGAGAGCGTCTTCTGGTGTTGGGTAAATATAAACCGGGGCATCCTACTGTGCACCAAGATGAGAAAAGCAAACAGTTTCTCAGAAGAGCTGACAGATGATGAAACACAGCCCATTCCAGCGATGACGCCTCATAAATGTTTCCTCTATTTCAACTGAATATAACCTTGTATATGTGCAATTATTGTGCTCCAGGCGACAATCAATGCCGCATCCAAGGTTCACACAACCAGTGTTTTTTTTGTTTTGTTGCAAATCTCTTCCACTGCCCAGGATGGTGTAACACATGAACAGAACATTATCATATTTTCAAACTCCTGGCCCTCGAGCAGCGCCTCACTGGAGGCTTTGCTTGGCAGAGACGAGGCAGGAAATTCCAGCGCGGAGCGGAGAAATCCAGCCTGTGAACGCCACACAGAGAGAGAGAGAGAGAGAGAGACAGAGAGAGAGAGAGAGATGTTTGATCCAGCAACAAAATCAGCTCAGCAGATACACGTCTCACATCAAGCCCGAGAGGAATCCATATGTCACTCCACCTGAGATAAGCATACAGTTTATTTAAAGTTTATCCAACATTCGTGACGGCCCCATTTTCATATCAATGGAGAGAAAATGTGAAAAAAAGAAAGAAAAAAAAAACCTGAGAAAGTGCTAGCAGCTTTACGGTTGAATTAGTGGAAGACAATGCCGAGCCCACTCTTTAGTATCTTTTTAACTACCTCCTCCCCAACTGAAGGACCCCCTTCCAGTGATAGTGATGTGATTTCACAGACTGTTTGGGGAGCCAAGTCAAATTTATCTGACCCCTTTTGTCTTGAGCTCCTGGTTGAATTGTACCTAGTCTGCCATTAACGCTGCTCTTTACATGTTTAAGAACCTCATATGGTGCTTCATACCTTTCTCCAAAGTGTCTCATGGATACCATATGTAAATAAGGCCTTGAAGGCATCATATATCTGGCATTATGGAGCAGGGCAGTAAAAAATGGTCTGTTTCACTCTGTAGCAGATCTGGGGTCCGCACTCGCACTTTCACTTCACTTTGACAGTCACACTTGCTAAACTGCTTTTTTCTTTTTTATGCATCATCACACATTGACTGTTTATAACATGCACAACAGTCGTGTTTAACTCCTGGGTGTACAGCTTAACACAACATGTGGACATCCCCCTGTTTTGGTTCATGTGTAGGGAGTTCAGGGTTGGGGGGGGTTTAAATGTGGGTGTGGGAAGGTGAAGTGGGGGCTGCAGGAAGGAGGTGTAAGAGGGTGTGGGGGGGTGAAAGTGTGTCCCTTCTGCAATTGGCTGTGGCTCTAAGTGTCTCATTATGCAGCTTATTGTTCCTTTGTTGTGCCGGCGGTATAAATACACCCCAGTGGGCCCAGAGGGTGACAGTTTAGACAGACTCACTCCTGTGGACAGACTACTCATCACACTGAATAGCACAGACTGAGAGACTGTGGCGACACTACAGGAAACTGGGGAAGCTTGAAAACAGAGAGAGCATCTGTAGAATTTAAGTCCTCAGCTCAAGCTCTCTGTGTTTAAAGTTGAATTTTTGGACCTTTTTTTTTTTCTTTTTTCTTTCTCTTGCTGGAACCAAGATGGATTCTGACGCTGGATCCACCTGCAGCCGCTCCTCATCCCCAGACCTGGTGGTGGATGACTCAGCTGGGAGCTTCTTCTCCAACAAGATGTTCCAGACTTACTGTCACGAGAACAGAGCAGACAGCGAGGCCGGCCAGGGAAGGACGGAGCACTGCGGCGAGGGCGGCAAGACCAAGACCAGGTCCGAACTCAGCAAGGAAGAGATGCAGGACCTGAGGCTGAAAGTCAACAGCCGGGAGAGGAAAAGGATGCATGATCTGAACCAGGCGATGGACGGCCTGAGAGAGGTCATGCCCTACGCTCACGGCCCCTCCGTCCGCAAGCTGTCAAAAATCTCCACCCTGCTGTTAGCCCGCAACTACATCCTCATGCTGTCCAGCTCTTTGGAGGAGATGAAGAAGCTAGTGGGGGATGTTTATGGAGGCAGCGCTGCCGTCCAGAGCCGCACCGCTGCCCACCCGGCCATCACCCCGACAGCCCCCACAGCCCACCTCCCTCTGCACCCTCTGGCCCAGTCCCTGCACTCTCTGGTGGGCAGCACGCCCTCCACTCTCCAGCATCACTCATCTTCTTCAGCACCAGCCCCGCACTCCCCTCCATCCGCCAGCTTCCTGGGTTTTCATGCTCCGGTCCAGGGCCTTCTGAAGGACCCCCTCCACCTGACCAGCTCCTACAGGCACTTCCCCGGCATGCCCTGCCCCTGCTCGCTCTGCCAGCCTTTGCCCACCACTACCTCCACATTACACGGCCTGTCTATGAACAAGTGAGCAGGGCTCTCTTCGAACTGACCTCTGCTGTTTGAACTGAACAGCTCAGAGAATATTGTTAAACAAACTGCTAAAAAAAAATAATGGCTGGTGCCACAATTTGTACATAATGTATATATATCCTCTGCCATGCAAACTGCTGCTATTTTTTTTTTATCATTCGTCTCTTGTTGATACAGAAATATTTTAAATGCACAAGGGATTTTATCAGTGGAGCAAAGACTGTAATTTATCTGATATTTTTGATGATGAAAACTGTCAGAAAAAGGAACTGGTGTGTCCTATTGTGCAGGATTTCTATTTTCTTAAATTAAATTTCCTTTTTATATTAAAAAAAACTCTTGTTTGCATTCTTCTTTTCATGAATGTGATCCTGAAATATTTATACTGATGTCTATTTCTGTGGTTGGTGATGGTTCTGAACAACAAGTCATATATTTCAAAACAATTTCTGTCAGGTATTATTTCTTTTTACACGGCAGCAGGGTTTTACACATCTACTCACAAATACACATCAGCTGTATGAGAACAATATAGCAACATCTTAACTAAACAGAAGGGGTTTTATTGGTGCTGAGACAGACAAGGGAGCAGTGCAAGAATGGATGATTAGGAAAGGGTGTCATTGGTTGCTAACCAGCTTTGGACAGAGCAACCTCTAAAGAGCTAAGGAGGGACAGAAGGGCGAGACAATGCGCCGGCACAGAGGTTGAATGTGGCGCTCTTGAGCCAGGGGACCATCCATCTTCACCTCAACAGGGTGTAGGAGATGAAAGGGCGACACAGGCGCCAGGAAGGCCCGTCACTTTTGTCTGACGCAGACATAGCCATGTCCTTAGCTCCACGCCAACGATTTGTCACTGTCTCATAAGAACATGAACAAAGGGCAAATTTAAAGCAGAGGACATAATGCGGTCAGTTTAACACAAGTTCCTATAAAACCAGACTGGATTCCATTTTCAGTGCTAATGAATATTTCTACATATAAGCAGCACAAAGTTGCAGTTACAATTGGTTGCATTAGCGTTAAAAATCAACTTCTAGCTGACTGGTAACAATGATTTCTCAACTAAACCGCAAACACAACTATTGTACACAGTGATTGCCATGAACATGATTTAGTCAAACAACCCAACAATGGCTGGCCTTCACTTAGCAACAAATCAAGCGTGTAAAATACATGCTTATCCTCCCACGGCTGACAGATGAGTTGGAGATCAGGGGAGAAATGAAGAGATGTAACACTCATTCTCACCCACCTCCCTCCTGCCCCCTCCTCCTCCTCCTCCTGAGAGCCCTGAATAGGTCTGAACAATAGCCATGCGTGGGACACAAAGGCTGGGGGAGTCCAAGCTCTCGTGCCTGGGACACAGACCCCCTCCATTCAATCTACATTTCATCATGGTAACAAGCGCTGTCGGGCCAAAAGGCCTGACACCCTCGCTCGCCACAAAGGCGGTTAGCTCTAATATATGAGGCTATTGACACTGTAAAGAGCCCCTGTCAGTACTGGGGGATTGTCAGCTGTGGGATGTCTCAGTGGGGGGAGGCAGCTGCCAGCCAAACCAAGCAGTGGAGCTTCTGTCGTGGGGACTGGCGTTGCATCGTCACCTGGTCCCTGGTCCCTTGACACAGAGACCCCTGGTCCTCCCACAAGGGCCCCCCCCTTTATTTGGGCACAGGTGGGAATGGGAAGCAGAACACATTGTGGAGATTAGTGGGGATCGGCCTCCCTTTGCTCTAGGTAGATAATTAGAGACACTGACTTGTGCAAAGCTGGTGTTTCCTGATCGGCACCAGATGGTGTTAACCCACGGTATGGCATCAGCAGTCTGGACTGTGTGTGTGTGTGTGTGTGGGTGTGATGAGTGTTGTGTGTAATGGATATGCTTCTTAAATCATACAATATGGGCAGGTCCTCTGTGTGCCATTATGGTCAGCCGCTGCTGTCATCATGATGCTCTTTAGCATACGCTAACCAGCAGTGGCAGAACTGGTTTTAGTCACAATGTTGTGCACAATTAACTCTGGAGATTAAACACAATGATACAGAAAAGGGTCATTACAGCAGAGGAAATATTCAGGTACTAAATAAAAGTGGCAAAATGATGTTGAAATACATGTAATAGTCCTGCAGTGTTAACTGGTCCAGGTGAAAGTTTTAACTACTTTGCTTAGTGTTGGGCAATTTAATATATAAAACCTCAATGTTATAAGGACATTTCTGTTGATGATTGAGTCCTTAAGACTTTATTTTATTGTGCATTGAAAATATTTCAACCTGTTTTTAATTTTAATCAACTTGTTTAAAAAAAAAAATAAAACTATGACTCAGACTACCTTACAACTGAATGTCTGCATCTTAAATCAAGAAAGAATACGGCACTAAAATTATGAAAAAGTTGAATGTACAAAAACAAATTCAGGTCTGACAGATAAAAGCTCATAGCCCACATGTCCCGCGACAATGGACTAGACACTAACGTCTCCAACAACACAAAGGACGCAGTGATGATAACACACATTCCCCTTTGGTGAATTAAATGTCATGCAAACACTATCACACCGTGCGCATGTAGACAGATGGATAAGTTAACTGCTTCAGATACTGATCAATAGAGGAGTACTTGTCCCAACTTGGCTCAGCCCAACCTGCATTGACAGAGTTAATTAGGGGCCTGAAAGACCCAATTAAGAGGATTGAAGGGCTGGACAGGGGAGACATATTGCAGGACATACGCACACATTGTGCAGCGTCTGGATAAAGGGGGACTTCAATTAAGAGAGAACACACTTCCAGAGGCTTGTTGCCTGTTCTTTTTCATTTTGTGCTCAGTAAAGCCCACAGCCCCCTTTTAACCCAGAATACTGATGAGGGGAAAGCACAGCTGCTGGTGCTTCACACGCATATGCAATACGCTCACATGCAATGCGCTCACATGCACGTCCACAGATGTAACAGAGAGTAGGAGATTGATGAGGGGATTCAGGTTAGAATTACTAAACAATGATTAGGAAGCATAATGATTCAAGGAGGAGAGGTTTGGGCTGGATACATTTGTTTGGTTTCATACACAGCTTATTGGTTAAACAGGTTTTAATGAAAAGAAAACAACTCGCATATGCTTCACTAGTCCCCCCACGGAGGAATCTTATTACAGTTTTTCCTTCTTTGTTTTGATGCACTTCTGCCAACTGGGTTCTGAAACAGCAGCGATGGCAAATACTTCACTTCTGATGATTGCCGGTTCTTTTTGAACAACACTCACATAGGAAACATGACTCACAGAGCTTTTAACACAAGTTTCAAATGAATCTTCTGTTTGCATTAGTTTCAATCTGGTTCCCATATGTATGGGGTAGGTCGGGGTAATCATTTTTTTCCCCTTTTTTTTATTTTTTAAAATCAAGATTTGTATTACTTTTAAAATTGAATAGGTATCTTTTAGCCCAACTAATTTTAGGTGCTCAGTAAAATGTGAAGGCCACTGGACACTCCTTAAGGCAACCAGCCACAAACTGTATTTATTGAAGTCTGGTTTTGAGGTATAGTATAAACTAATTTAGATTTCTGGGGGGGGGGAGATAAATTCAGATCACTTTTGCTAATCTGATATGGTGCCTAAAAAATAAGGTAATAGTAATTACCTTATGGGGTATTGGAGGGAGACAGGACAATACTGCAGCAGTACATCTCTGCTAGGAAGTTGTCCTGGCCGACTAGCCCATGCAAGCTGAAAGAAGAAGAAGGCGGAAAAGGGACGCAAGGTGTAGACAACACATGTGGTCAACATGTACAACACAGACAAATGACACATCTGGACAAGTACAGTTCAAAATGGAATAGATATAGAAAAATGTTTTGTTGTACTGGAATCTAACTAAATACATTTACTCATTTACTGTTCTTAAATACACCTTTGAGGTACTTGTACTTTACGTGGGTCTTTTCTTTTCATGCAGCTTTGTAATTGTACTCTACTACATTTCAGAGGCTATACTGTACTTTCTGTCGTCTACATTTATTTCACAAATGTAGATTTTTGCATACAAAACATAGGAAGAATATGTCTGTTATAGACCTCTCAATATATACAGGTACACCTCTCAAATGCATGGATTTGCTGCTTTTCCTTTTAATGACCTTAATGCATTTTAATAAGATTGAAGTTTGGACTGGACAAAAAAAGTACTCTGAAGGTGTCACTTTGAGCGCTGGGTAATTGTGGTGGACAATTAGTGCTATTTTCATAATAATTGAAAATAAAACAGTCAATAAATAAATAAATAAATAAATGAAAATCACCAGATTAATCCATAGTGAAAATATTCATCAGTTGCAGTCATAGCACCGCCTCGGCCAACTACAACAGTAATGTGCTGCTTAAACCCTACAGTTATAATCTCATGCTACAATATAGTGTAACTGTCACAGGGACCATTTTTCTGCATTGAGGAAGTGGTATTCTTTTAATGCTTAAAATACATTTTCCTGGTTATACATTCATTCTTGTATTAAGTAACATATTCGATGCAGGAGTTTAACTTGTAGCTAACAGAGTATTTTTGCTAATCTTGAAAATTTCTTCCACCACTGGTGTTAATGTACGTACTCTATGAACAAATGTTGAAACACAGCACCTCTACAGACGCACCAAAACAATGGAGAAAAACCATTCGTCACCACATCCTCTTGTTGGATCCTGTTGCCCACAGTTCACTCGACCTTTAGCGTTACCGTCATATTTGGTCTTCTGCAGCCACCGTAGACACCTCAAACGCTATTAAACATTTCCTGTTTATAAACTGAAAAGAAGACTACTTAAAATGAGAACCTCTCTGCATATGTGACTGTGATTGTTTGTATATCAGAGTAGAGAAGTCATGTTGCATCACGTGTGTGTTGTTTAAAACCATGGAGCCGGGGTTAGAGTTCAGTAAATACTGATGATGTCATCGTCTGAAGATGGCTGAAGGGTGAGAGTGAACTCGCAGTTTTA